CTGAAGTCTGAGCTACAATATGTGATGGGATTTGTTCTAAACTTCCTCAAAGCCAGTGATGCTTTATAATATTTTAGATGAGAATTTTCCCTCTTGCTTTCCACACAACGTTTTAAGTCTTTCTGTTAGAGGTGCTAGGTTGTTAAGACTGCACCTTCATATATTTGTCTTCCTTTTCCACTTTGTCAATATTCTTCACCCTGGACTTGAACCAAAATTTAGCAGTGGCAAAAGAAGTTCAGTCTTTCTGTCTACTGTTTAGTGTGAGTAGAATGACTAAGGATACTAGAAATGGTGCAAATTACAATGGGACTAGCCTGCTATATCTGCCTCTCCCTTGATGCATAGGGGTCAAGAATCTGTATGACTGAGTGCAAGCAGCTGGATGCTCCAAAGGGGTGAGACTGTTTGGATAGTCACAGCCATTTTAGAACATTAGAAGAATTAGAACATTTTAAGGCATTAGTAACTGACTAATTTTGGGATGAGGCAGCATTTGGATATAGGCAGTGAAATATTTGACAAAAATTAATTAGTAAAGATGCTGTAAAGAGCTGAAAGCATTTGTCACATTACAGTGTATATTAAATTGACAAAAAGCATATTTTTTACAGGGCAATAAGTATTTCAAACAAGGAAACTATGATGAAGCAATCGAATGTTACACACGAGGGATGCATGCTGATCCGTACAATCCAGTCTTGCCCACAAACAGAGCATCATCTTTCTTTAGAATGAAAAAGTAAGGTCTATGTTGTGAATATATCTTTTAAATTTTTTTAATAACATTTTCCTTCAGATTTTAGTTATGGGACTATTCATTCTAAGACCCATGGGTCTGTTTATTATACACATCAGCCTGCTTTGCAACTTTCTCGAGTTAATGACACCGGTTCCTCGTAAATAAACAGTAGGGGTATACCAATAAAGATTTTCTTGGTTGATAGCAATAGCCAATTTATTAACCAGTCATATTGCCGATACCGATTCAATAGCCAATATACAGGAATGCAGCTGGGCAGCCTGGAGAGCAGTGTCCTGCTGGTAAGTCTGTGGTGGGCAGGGGTGAGGGGGAGGGAAGGGGTGGGGCAACTTGAGGCCCCCACGGTGAAGGAAGGAGAGGGGCTAGGGCAGGGGCAGGGACAGGTGCTGCCCAGTTAGGGTGATGAATGGGACCCCGGGCAGGGCGTGGGATGGAGCTATGGGCAGCTCATCCAGGGAGGGGGGCGGGGATGGTTCCACACTGCTGCACACACTTCTGGAGGAGGCATGGAGCAGGGGTATGTGCCCCCTGTATTTGTGTGCAGGTCAGAGGTGGGCTGTCTGCTACGAGCTCAGGGCCAGGGGCAGTGCCGGCCTCTTCCCAGCATGGGGGCTGGGCTCAGGGTGGGTGGAGGTATGGCAGGCTCAGCTGCGTGGGGTGGGCAGCTGGCCCTGGAGGGTATGGCTATGTGGGGGGGGCCCTACCGAGAATTTTAGAGTAGCTATAGCCCCGCAACCCTCCCCCACAGTGCCACCTCTGTTTGGGGCGCACACTCTGCTTTGCTGCCTTTACCTGAGGAGTCCCCCACTGTGGGGCAGGCAGGGGTCACATGGCTGAAATAAGGCTCCTGGGGGAAAAGCAGAATGGACTGTCCCAAGCAGGATCAGCATTGGGAAAGGTTTGTGGGGGGGACCAGGCTATATCCACCCCAGAATTCCCCATAGGCCTCCCACAGTCACCCCTTCCAGTGCCGCCACCACCTGCCTGGCATAGCTGAGCCCACCCCACCCCTGCCTCCCCTGGGCCATCTTTCTACTAGGAAGAGGCTGGCGCTGCGTCTGCCCCACACAGAAATCCAGGGGGGGCATATGCCCCCCATGCCTCCCCCAGGGGTTCGTGCAGCAGCGGGGAGCTGCCCCAGCCTTCTACTGTGCCCCCTGATGAACCACCCACAGCTCTGTCCTGTACCCTGCCCTGGGGTCCCATTCACAGCCTTGGCTGGGCAGCGCCTGCCCCTGCCCCGCTCCCCCCCTCACCAT